TTATTACGTACGAATCAACTCTCATGACAGACTCTACATAGTTGTGCTTTTTTTTTTACCTTCACAATGTGTATAACCGTCACCCAAGAACTTGACACCCTGAACAATGGGACACTGACATACTCTTCCTCTGAAAGTGTCCTGCAACATGTCTACTACATTTGTAACATAACTATTATAACCCCAAAAAACATAAAAAGGAAGGACCGATTCTTTAAGATCCCACGCACCCTGCAAGCTGTAATGTTGGTTGTCTTATCCTCCCAACACCCTACATTGCTATGTAAACACTCATTCGTTTCTATGTCTGCCCAAAACACAGAATCCACAACCAGACGTTACAGGTAGTGAATATCCCAAACAGAGGAATCAATGGAGAAATAATCTATAGAGAGAGGGACCTTCGGTTAAGCAGATGGGTGGCTCAGTCGTCTCTTGAAACCCTGAGCAAAGCGCCTTTAGCACCGCCGATCTCTCCAACTTCCCTGAGATATTTTGAAATTAATTCTAGCAAACTCATAAAATTAGGTCTACAACATTATTAATTGTAGAATTTGCTTGCTTCTGCTTCTACTTCTGACCTCTGTATTGCCTGTTGTTTATTACAATAGTTGGTAGTATTGTCACATCTCCACGCGACCCTTTCCCAACCTGACGGATTTAGGAATCAATAGGGGTTTAGTATATAGTTTCAAGGGCTAGCTTACGTTTCTGAGAAAGAAAAGAAGCTAACTTGTTCTTCTTGTTCATCTTTAAGGACAGGATTCTCAGCATCTGCTTCTATGTCTCCCATGCATTTGTCTACTTTCTTCACATCGACTCCTACTCGAAAGAATGAGACATAGAATAAGATCTCGAGAGTAGATGGAAAAGAGAGAGAGAGAGAGAGAGACAAGTTGGGGGTTACCAAGAGAACGAATGACTTGATCGGCACATTGCTTGTTGTACTTGTCCTCTTTCATGGGACAACGGATGGCGAAGTCGGTGACATAATCCCACCAAAGCCAAGGCTTCCCAGTTTCATTGGTCACTCGAAAGAAGCAAGCTTGGCGTAGATTCTGAACAATCACGTCTTTCCCATTGTATCCTCGGGAGAAGTCTTGCTCAGGGTCGGGAGCACAGTACCTTCCTCCGTTGATGCATTGCGTTTTGCATTGTCTACTTGCCAGAAACGCTTCAGGGCAATACCAGGTGATGTAATGGGGAGTGAAGCGAGTGTAGCCTCCTTTCTCAAGAATCTGAGCTGCTCCTTTGAACCTCTTGAGAAACCGGATTTGTGCATCGCATTTGGCTCCGCATTCATCATTGCTGTTCGTCCATAGCTCGTAGGCCACTCGGTCGTTCGGGTGTGGAAGAGCCTCCCGCCAGTCCAGGCTTATGTGAACAGGTTCCCCGTGAGCTATGGCCGTTTTGATGGCGCTCCCTAGAGATCTGCTCAACAGCGCCGAAGGAATCGTGATGTTCTGCAGGTAATCCGCGTCTGCTGTCTCGTCCTCTGGCGCGTCCATGGTGATTAGTGGCTCGGGTCTGTTATCTGCCACCAAGATGGTTGCAGCACCAGCTCTTTGCGCGTTCCAGGCCTTCAAGGTGAAGTAACAATCTGAGACAAACCAATAACAAGAACATCACTATCATTAGGCGCCTTGATTGTCTCACAAGACATCTTTTCTTGTGCAGCAAGTCATACCCGTTTACTTGTGAAACAGAGAAAGAAAGAGAGTGTGTGTGTTTCTGTGTGGTTAACGAGGAAGAAGAGAAAAAGTGGGACCTCCTCGGTCGACGAGAACGAATGTGGGCAATCCAGCGACTCTGGATCGGAAAGAGATTTCAAAATCGTCAAAGTTCTTGCATGCCTTCTGATTAGCTTTTGGGTAAACCACCGCGCCGGACATGCTTCCGCCGTACTGAGGGACGCCGAAGTTACCGAGGGCGCATTCGTAGATTCCTCTGATGGACTCCGGCGAAGTCACTCGCAGGTTGTTCTTCTCCACCACGAACCTCCCCGAGCAAGAACCCCACCACACCATCACCAATGCCACTACAACTAACCCTACCTTCTCCAGCCTCGTCGTCATGATTGCACCGATGATAATCTTTCCAAGTTATTTTTCTCCGATCGAATTCTAAAAATGGGCACCGACAAAGCATGAAACCATAAAAGAATTGAAACTGTCAAACAGACTCGCCACCACTGACCAAATATATTTCCGCTTCTACTGGTTGACGTGGCACCAAACGACTTGAAAATATTTGGGCCTAACCATCTACTAACTGGGCTTAGTCATCTACTTATTGGGCTGTTATACTAGACCCAATGCTCAAGTTAAAAGCCTTTTCCTTGCAAGCCTTCTCCATGCATCATTTAATTTCCATGTACTAGTTCAAACTTCAAACTTTTCACATTTTAAAAGTGATACTGGGATTGACATCACTAGAAGAACGATCGATAGGGATGCATCATATTAACTATTTTGAATTTTATCATGTTTTTCAGCCTACAATTTCTAGGATGAAATAATAATACGTATATTTCAATTAATTAGAATGGTAAATAAGGAGGTCAATCTAAGAAATTAGAGGCTACGCTGACCGACCAGAAAAGTGGAGACGATTTTGACCAGAAAAGTGTGAAAATCGCAGTGTGTTTATACGCAACCAACCAAACAATTTAATCAAGAAAAAAGACTTTACATTTTTTCCACACGGACGTTGCTTTCACTCTCACCTCTCTCGTTAACATATGCTTTTGGAGTCATCTCATGAGTAATATTTATATTTAAATAATAATCTATATTATACTTGCGGGAGATTTCCAATATGAAAGTAGAGAAAATGCATTACACGTTTATAACAAGAACTTTAACCCTAGATTCTCCGAAGTATCAGAGCTAACTAGTTTCATATTTTCTACGAGGCCATTCAAATATATTTTTTAGGTACATGTCTTTTTATACATACATGTGCACATGGTCATGCATTATGGCATACAATACATACACAGAACATGATGTTGGGCATACACCAGCGCTTGGAAAAAGAATCTTTGACGCATATTTTAGGAAGAAAGATTCGTGTCCGTTTATCCGATTAATCACTCCTACCTAGATTTATCATATTATATACAATATATATGCGTTTAGTTTAAAATTAGGTGTGCCATGAATCATGCATACACCTTGGATGATTAAGGTACCAAACAGTATTCGTCATCTTAACTTGGTTTACATCATATGGTATAAACTCACGCTTAACAAAAAAAAGGGGGGGGGGGGACCATGAAATGTTAAATGCTATATAACTGAATAAAACAAAAGGAGATGCATATATTAAAGGAGAACTATTATCGATCTTTTAATGTTGTTTTAAGAGCATACACATATTAAAAAGGAGAACTATATATATTCTTGGCTCATGGGAATGATGGAGAGGTTCTATATAAAGAGCCTTTATAAATTAGTCAATAGAAAATCCCTTTAACCCAAAAGGAAATATATATAGTTTGAATTTTTTCTGATTATATATGTGATTAGTATTAATAATCTAGTTAGTGGGTACTTAGGGCACAAGGGTCAAGAAGGTCTCTTTGTCTTTCCTCTTTCCGATCTGCTTCAATGGCAAGTTCATTGACCGGACCAACCATTTCTTGTCTCCCCACTTTTTGACTCTCGTGTTGGAATTTTATGTACGATTTGATCGAATTCGCATGAGCGAGTCCAGTCTTAGTTTAATTTATGAGAATATCTAATATTTCTGTTCTGACATACAGACAAAAGAAAACTATTGATAAATATGAGTTTTCTTAGTAAAACCAGTAAACCGATAACACATGATAACATACAAACTACAAAGTATCATCGTTATGAGTTATGATGGAAGAAGGAACATTCTGTTATGCGGATGGTATAGAAAACCTCGGAAAATTTGTGCGAAACATAAACCCTAGCTAGCTAGCAGGTTTTATGTTTTCATAAGTTTGTAGCAACGGTGGTGTGGCAGAACTCCGGCGACTGAAAACAGTAGTCAGAAGAAATCTTGGCGAGCAAAAAACCTAGCTGGAAGAAAATTGAGTGTTTCTGTGGAATCCAACATTGGGTGCTAGCACTTGAATGTAGAATAAATCCACCAAGTCTAGCTATATCCGATTCAGCGTAACCTTTTTTAATTTGCCGCTTGATTGTTCAAAAGAAGAAGCTGATAAGTGGTAACAGTGCAAAAATCAGTCTTGTATTTTTAGAGGTCGATATAAACTCAAAACAAGGTATGCAAGTTTATATAGATGCATAACACACAAAAAAAAAAAAAAAAAAAAAGTAACAGGAGGAGATGCTAGAGTATATATATAAAGGACTTAGTAGAAAACTTATAATTAAAGAAGAGCTAGCTATATACATGTATGAGAGGATAGAGAGGGGAATGATACAAGGTCATGATAAGTCAGTTGATGTCCTAATAAAAGGATTAAACCCAAAAGCCTCCACCGCGTGGGCAACCTCGGAGGACATCCAGTGAGATGGAGACCAATCTTCTGCTTTCTCGGGTGACGACATGTATTCATCTTTGGGATGAATCTGATTATGATTCTGATTCTGGTCATGTACTTGGTGGGGGGAGGGATTGGGGTGATCAAACCGGATCATGTGAGAATCTTGGGGATCAGATGTGTCAACGGGAAAAGTTGCATAAGCCTGATGAAGCTGGCATGTGTGGTGGCCGAAGTAAGTGGTTGAGTAGAGTGGAGGGCTGTGCTGGATCTGTTGGACCTGCTTCTTAGCTTCACAGTTCTGGTCCTTTGTGTACGCACACTTGTAGTAACTCCTGTCATATGATTTTTTATTATAACATAAAAAACCAGCAAGTATATATATATATCTATATATGACTATGAGTGTAGTAAATGTGAATGTGAGCGATTGATATATATGAATATACATACCTTTGGTGATGAGATTCTTTGATCTGCTTTTGTCCGTATTTCCTCCAAAGAAAGCCGTCGTGGTATATCGGATTTGGGGATTCATGTCGACGGTAGTCGGAGCTCTCTGCCATCGATGTCTTTCTGCAACCACCAAGCTCATGGTGATGATGAGTGAAGAGAACATATACACATACCATCCAATTTCTTATTTGATTCAACTTCAAGCGGGATATATAGATCTATACCTTCCCCTCTTGTGAAGTGGCTTCTCAAGAACAGGAGAAGAGTCGTGCGGGGAGGAGTTATTGGATTGATCATCGTCTTCGTGATTAGTATCGATCAAGATGGAGAGAGCATCCGAGAAACAATGGAGGACGGAGTTGGCCAAATCCTCCCTTTCCATGGACGAGTCTGACTCGGAGTGGTCCATGATGTGCTTGAGCTGGTTGGCATAGCCATGGCCGTGAAGCAGCGTCTCCATAGCCTTTTGTTGGCAAGACTTCATCTTCTTTAGACTAATAGTGTATGTTCTCTGGGTTTTGTGAGAGATTATTATTAAAGTTGGAGATGTGATGTGCCTCTTCTTATATATTGATGAGGTCTAGCTTCTCCCTGTTAGGAAGTTTCGTATATGTGTTAATTACCATACACTCCTTGATTAACTTCTCTATCTTAGTAGTACTAGCTAGTACTTAATTATGTAATTCGAATTTAGCAATGTGCGGATTAATGAGTGGCCCCTTCCCACTAGTATTGTTACTACAGTTGACTTAACCAACAGCTCTCTATAATAGTATTAATTAGTATAAGGTAAATTAGTTTAATAATTATGTGTAAACTCATATCTAGGCATCATGACTCAGTTTCCCTGTGTGGGCTTAGATTCCCTGTGTGGGCTTAGTTTCCGGTGTTTTATTTTCACCGGCTTTCTTCCGGAGTATCTTCGTTTCGTCCGGTTTAGTATTTTATCGTGATTCTCCTGGTTATGTAAGGTTGGATGGTGTCTAACACCTTGTATCTCTCTCATTTCAATATAATTCTAGACGACAGCAAAATTCTATTATAACCGCATGATTGGAATTTAGATAAATCTTATTGGCCCGTTTGATCAGCAAGAGTGCATATTTATTTTATATAATATGATTTCTTCACGATTTAAAATAATAATATTAACATTTGTTGATAAGAAGTTGAGTTAACTATATCACAAGGATGGGTGAGAGTGAAGTTAAAAATCTCATTACTAACAAAAGTGAGTCATGTGGCACGGCACCTGAGACGATGGAACGGCAACGCCGAATAAACGGGCGTAGAAAACGGAGGAGGAGGAGGAGGAGCCAATCTAAACGGCGTTAGTGAGTTCTCTGTCAAAAGTGACGTAGCTTGCGTGACTCATCCTACCGTACGTCATCTAGGTTTGTATTATGGATGACAGATCCTTTAATGCATTAATCTCATCTTTTTATCAATCCAACGACGGAGATCAACTGCTGCTAAAGGTTTTTGTTATAAAAATATAGTATAAGCAAAACCCGCATGTGCTCTTTTTTGGATTTCAACTTATCTTAACTTATGTTCCTTTCTTATACTTAAATATGTCTTTGATGAGATCTAGTACGTGATAATATATATAAAAATACATTTCCCTTTTCTTCCTTATAAATAACAACTTCTATTAGGTATCTTTTGCTTCTGCTTCAATATCGGCGGCTGATCATGTATTAGGTTGTGTCGTTGTGACTTTTTCTTTTTCAATTAAGGGATGATATGGATTTTTACCGATTTATGTTTACGGTGAATCATTCACCATATTTTCTAATACATTTAAAGTAAAAGTTACAACCCTATTCTGATTAGGCAAGTGAAACTTTTCTTTAATTTATCTGTTCTTTGTTCAAAACTTATTAATGTTAGCAATGTTAATCAAATCATCTTAACATTTACACCAAAAAAAAAATGTTAATCAAATCATTAATCAACAAGTTGAGTACTTAATTAATGCGCATCACATAAGGTTGTAATATGCATGCACATTGTAGTATATACTATATAGTCTCATCTCATCCACTACCACTAGCTGGACATGTGGTGTGGACGATAAACGGTGTTAGTCTCCGACGGTATTACCGTTACGTTGTCTTCTAGCGCACCATTAGATTAGACGACGTATCTAACGTCACCCAGGTGTAATAACTAAACCCTGTCACGTTATGATGCTTAATTTATTTAATCTCCGCTTCGATCCAATCTTCTAACCATTTATCCGCTAAACATTATAGAAAACACTTATCTTCAAATTAATGAAACCTACCTAAAGAATAAAGATAGATAGTTATCATACCAAAAATAATGATAAAGATAGGTTTTTTTTTTTTTTTTTTTTTTTTTTTTTTTTAACGTGAAAATGATACTCTACATAGATGTTTATAAACTAGTGTCGACATTTCAATTGATAATATTTTAATCGTAAGGTTTACATGTCAACAGTCGACGGTCGACACAAACAAAACATAGATAATGCCAATTCGCGCGTTTAGTGTCTAAAATTGTATCAGCACGATAAAAAAAGTCTTTAGTAACTGAGAGAGAAATGTATGCATATTGCTAATTATAAAAAGTAAAAATAGTGAAGAATATGGTTACAATCTGCATAACGTAGCTTAATTTTTGCCATTGAAGTTGATATGTTGTGTTAGGGAATAATACTATTAGAGGTTCGAGTAGGAGTAGGGGCAGTTGGAATTAAACACGTTCCTTAATTGGATTCGATTAAACAAATGGTGTGGAATGGATGGGGTGTGTTTTTGTCGTTTCTGGTATCCAACTTGCGTGTTAGATCTTACTTTACAAATGATAGATTTAATAGTTTTCTTATACTAACGAAATAAAAATGAAAACAAAAAAGTGAATGATCATCATTCATCAGTCGTCACCTAACTAATAGTAATAGTTAATAGAGGCGACGGCAATAATAGTTGGTTGATTGTTTTAGCCGCGTATGAACGCGGACCCCATTTCTCTCATTGTTTGGGCATATATTTGATTCCATGTTCACCAATCTAACAATTTGTTGGTGCGTCTAAATGTCTAAATTTGCAAGGATTAGAAGAAATACTAAACTAAACTAAACTAAAATAAAAGCTGGTAGCTGATAGATGGCCTTGAATGTTTGGGGTAACGTAATTTATAAATTATAATAAAATCAAATGGATATTTTTTGTATTGAAATACTAATGACATTTGAATTTTGTCATGTAGGATCAATAATGGAGTATGATTTAGAGATGTAAAGAAACTTTCTCAATTTGGTCTTAAATATGCGAGTAAATGCTTTTTGAATAGACAATTAGTGCTAGTGAACATAATTAAATTAGGAAAGGCTTTCGGAGACATTTGGTGAATACTGACATTTGATCGGAGGTGTTTATAGTAGATTTTATATTCCCGGGTGCCTAAAACTAAAAGAGAACAAACATGGGCCTATGGTCGAGAGGGCCCAATAGAAAAGCCCATTGTAACGAGGCATTACATAAAAGCAAGAATACAGAAGACACGCGCGTGTCGAATTAAGAAGTAGGAGTTTCAGAATTTGCGACGGAGCTTTCTTCTTCCTCCGGTTCCTCTGCATCATCAGCTTCCACAGGTTCCTGAATTTTCCAGATCGAATTAATTACAAAAAAAAGATGAGAGAGAGAGAGAGAAAGGGAGAGAGTGGCATTATTACGAAGCTGAAGCGTTTCCTCTTGTCATGCTCTTTCGCTCTCAGAGATCGGATCGGGGAAATTTTCTGATATGATGACAAACAAAAGCAGAAAGGGAAATTGAAGTTGAGAATCTGAAAAAAAAAATTAAATAAATAAAGAGAGAGTAAGGAGGAATATGGTGTTTACGGAGGTATAGGCGTGAAGCTCCTTCAATCTAAAGAGACGATCGACCTGGATTTCAAGGGTTTTCTGGAAGTCTCCTCTGAGGAGAAGATGGTTCAAGTGTAGATCCATGGCCACATCTCTCTCGTCGAGCAGTTTCTCAGTCCTCTCACGGTCCTCTCTCAGCCGCTCGAGTTTCTTCTTGAAGGCGCCCAGCTCCTCCGCGAGAGAAGCGTCGATTGATTGAACAAGGGGAAGGAGATGATGATTAACCTCCTTGTCTTTGTCCTTGCAAAGCACAAGAAGAGGAGCTTTGTTGGGCTTCTTCAGATTCAGATTCAGGTGGTCATTATCTGCTGGGACAAGGAAGATGTTTCTGGGCTGGAGAGCCTTTCGACCTGATGAAGATTTCATAACTGTGTTGTTCGATATATGAGACTTGAGACTTGAGACTTGAGAGAAGAAGCATCAACTTAGATGAAAGGATTTATTATGATTTCTTATTGTTTGAATTTGAATTGGTTTCGGCGCTTAACGGCTACTTTTCTTTTTCTTTCTTTCGGATTTCTCTTTCTATTTTTGTCTTGTTGCTTGTGATGAATCATGATTCATCTCTTTCCGTGTGAAACGCTGAATTTGTCTCCTTTTTCTTTTATAAAAAAATAGAGAATACACTTCTTTCTCTTTCTGATTCAGCACTGGACTTATATATACACAAAAATTAGTTAATTTTCGGATGATGGAGTGAATAGTAGTGGATTATACACAAACACTCTCGCTTAATTAATGATGGCGTAAAGAAAACGTGATTTTCAATAAATTGTTGTTGGATATAGTGCAGTGACACACAAACAATCAATGTTTTTGGTTCACAAAAGCAAGCGGCCCATTAGCTCAGTTGGTTCGAAACCTGCATGGGCCAATATTTAAATTGAGTTGGGCCACTTGAGAGTTTTGACAAGGAAAAGAATGGCGGATGATGACGTCGTGTCTAGTGTCATGCTCTGTGTACCTTCACCACAGACGCAAAGGAATGAATTGGATGAATGAATGGAGAAGAAAGAAAGAAAGCCAACCAAAAGCCCCATTGTCAGAGTCACTGATAAGAAGATAAGATGGCTTCTCTTCTCTCCCCCGCCACCGCCGGCGCTTTTCATTGGCATCTCAGACGCGGTTTCTCCCTTCCATCCCAAAACAGCCGGAGTTACCTGAGATGCAACTTCTCCCCGGAGGACATTCACATTCCTCTCGATCTTGCAGGGCAGTCTCTCTCTCATCTCCCTGCATTTGATGACTTTCAGAACAGATTCTCGGACACTCAGAAATGGGAGTTCCTTGCATCCGCCGGACTTGTCTGGTTTTACCTGACGGCAAGGCCAGGTGTGCTCATCGGCGCTATTGACGCATACCTCCTCGCTCCCCTCCAGCTTGGCCTCGACACTCTGATTGGGACCAGGAGGTTGAAGCGGTCCGATTTCCTGGTCAAAGAGAAACTCGGGGAGGGGTCTTTCGGCGTCGTCTATTCGGGCGTGCTTCTTCCCAAGCAGAGAGTTATTCTCAAGAAGGTGAAGGTGGGGATCCGAGGGGCGGAGGAATTCGGGGAGTACGAAGAGTGGTTCAACTACAGACTCTCAAGGGCAGCTCCTGAGACCTGCGCTGAGTTTCTCGGCACCTTTGTCGCCGACAAGACCAATTCTATGTTTACTAAAGGCGGCAAATGGCTCGTGTGGAGGTTCGAGGTGACATTCAGATCAAATCTTTTATGATTGAGTTAATTCATCTTCTTCATCTTCATCTTCATCTTCATCTTCATCTTCAACAACAGGGAGACCGTGATCTTGGTGATTACATGAAAGACCGGAGCTTTCCGTCCAATCTGGAGCCCATCATGTTTGGGCGTGTTCTTCAAGGCGCGGAAGCAGTGAAACGCCGCGCATTGGTCATCAAGCAGATCATGCGTCAGATCATCACGTCTCTCCGGAAAATCCATGGCACGGGCATTGTGCACAGGGACGTCAAGCCTGCCAACTTGGTGGTTACAAAGAAGGGCCAGATTAAGCTCATAGACTTTGGTGCTGCTGCTGATCTTCGCATCGGCAAGAACTACATCCCTGACCGCACCTTGCTCGACCCTGACTACTGCCCTCCCGAGCTCTATGTCCTCCCCGAGGAAACCCCTAGTCCTCCTCCCGAGCCTATTGCCGCCTTGCTCTCCCCGATTCTCTGGCAGTTGAACAGTCCCGACCTGTTTGATATGTACTCCGCTGGGATAGTGCTTCTGCAAATGGCCGTCCCGAGCCTACGATCTTCTGCGGCTCTCAAGAATTTCAATTCCGAGATCAAGTCAGCTGAGTATGACCTGAACAGATGGCGGGACAGGACTCGGACCAGGCCTGACTTGAGCATACTCGATCTCGACTCTGCCAGAGGCTGGGACCTGGTCACTAAACTCATATCCCAGCGAGGTTCTCTGAGACGCGGCCGCCTCTCTGCCGCTGCTGCTCTCAGACACCCTTATTTTTTGTTGGGTGCTGATCAAGCGGCCGCTCTTCTTTCAAAGCTCACTTTCAGCAAGTAGCTACCAACTCAACTCTCATTTAGTCCTTTTAATTTATCCATGTAAAACTGTATATGTACACAAAACATATCAAAGCAGCCGTCATCAGGTCTTATTCAGAGGTATGTTTGTATTGATATTGATATTGGTCTGGAATGTCTCTCTCCAGCTATGTTCACTCATCTTGATAGTTGATTCCCACACAATACATATATATATATATATAGACTATATAATCACTTGTATACACTGATATCTTTGTATTGGGTACTTGTCATTCACAAAACATGTTTCAAGACTTAGAGCTCATCATGCGAGAGGAGGGCATCGAGAGCAGTGTGGTTCTTTTTCTTGCATCCCCACTTGCATCTCCACCCACACAAGGAGTTGAACAAGGCGAGTCGCTTGGACTGCAGAGATATGATTTTTGAAGCAGTGTGAGCTCTAGTCAGGTAAACTGCGTAGCCGTCGTCCATGAACTCTGCCCCCTGAGGGAAGACTTGCCACACCAGGCTCCCGGCGCCAGCCCCTCCTTTCCTCGTTGAGTTCAGGGTCATCTTGTACACGGTACTCAGCATCTCGTCCCGGAAAGACGTGTTGAAGCCAGGGTCATGCGCCGACACTCCAAACTCTGTGAACAGAACCGGCATTCCCAAGTAGGTCTCCGCGTCCTCCACATGAGCTTGCATCCACGAGTTTGTGAATTCCAGGAAAGAATCTGACACTGTCGGAGATATCCTACATGAGCAGTTTCCGATTCATTCATCTCTTGTCTGTTTTCAGAGTCAGATTCAAACTCAGAGTAGGATAAAAAAAAAATACTTACCAGGAATCTGGATAGATGTGAACCGAAGCAAAATCGATGCCAAGAACCTGATTGTTTCTGATGAAGTCGGTTCCGACTTGTGCAGCGTAGGGGTTGGGATTGAAGCTGGTTCGCGCTGGGGCAGAGGGACCATAGAAGCCTTCAAGTCCAACCTCCACCAAATGTTTAGCGTCTAAGCTCTTGACGAACACGGCCATTTCTTGTATCCAAGACTGGAGTTTGTCACCAGAGGGATCAGAGGGGCAACGAGGCTCGTTCATGAGTTCCCAGGCGAAGATTGTGGGGTCCTTCTTGTAGGTCATGTTTGTGAAGGTGTTCACTCTGTTCAGCACCGTCTGCAATGCAAAACGAGCAAGGCTTTCAAGTTACTAATGTTTTTTTTAGTGGGATAAGTAAGCAAAAGTAAATGAAATCCCCTAATGTGATGGTGAACTGAAGGATGTGGAACAATCACCCGGACATGGGATTTGTAAAAGTCTCTGAGGGTGGGGTTGGTGAAGAAGTCGTCATCGGATGTGAGATTAAGGCCCGAGGCGTTCCCCCATTTAACGTACTGAGCTTTGCCTCCATAGTCGTTCCAGTTGTTGACCAATGACAGTATAAGTCTGATCTTGTACTTCCTGGCCTCGCTCACCACGAAGTCCAGGGCCTGCCCAATCGCTCACATCTTTAGCTAAACACTAAACACAAGAGAGGAAGAAGCTTTTAAGATACCTTGAAGACATCTTCGTCGTAAACAGAGGGAGATATCTGGAGAGCTCTCCATTGGCCATCGTTGAAAGCCCATGTCCTGCCTACCGTCATTCCCACCGCAGAGGCTTCTTGGAAAACTTGCGTCACTTTCCCCCTCGTGGAGCTGTCAGCTGCAAGAGTCATCATCCAGTAGGTGTTGAAGCCATTCACGTAGAAAGGTTGTCCATTTAGGGTGAATTGCATCCCTTTCCTCTGCACCATCTCCCATTCTTCATCTTCTTCTTTTACTGATCCTGAGCCAACCCTGCAAAAATAGTCTCAGTCCCTATAAACATAATCCCGAGATGAATGTGTGGTGAACGATGGTAACATTAGTAGTACCCATGCCCATGAGCCTCGCTGTCAAAATCTGCGAGTGCTCTGTTTTGTGTTAGAATTATGAAAACCGCAGAGCAGAGCACCATTCTGAATACAAGACGCTCCTTCATGTTGGCAGGTTTATGGAGCTTTCATCTTCATCTGGTTGCATGTTTAGGATTGGTATATATTCATACCAACAAAGCCAATAAACATGGAACTGATTATTTAACTTACAAGGCAAGGGAAGCCTTACTAGTTCCAAAACTTGGTTTCGTTCCTAGGTATCAATCAGAGGACTGAAATGTGAGACAACGCCAAAGTAACGTGTCACTGCCAAGCAAAGATTTCGAAGCGCACCCACTTCTCCACATCGGAGTTAGCTGACATGTCAAACTCAGTTTCTTTCGTGCAAGCTCCCATCTTCAAGTCCAAGAATCTTAATCCGGCAAAAAGGCAAATACAGTTTTACTCCTCTGCAAATTGTGATATTCATAAAGCAAATCCTATTTGGTGTGACATCGCAATTGCCGAAGATAGAAATAGGGAACTCGTGTTTTTGCATTACGTGCTCATAACAGACACGTTACTCTTTCTTGTTTGTTGCATATTTGCATCCGTTTAGACAACTTTTCTATTAGAAAAAAAACATGTCACGAAATCACTGTCTACATTTCTCAGGACGCAGCAAGTTTGATATACTATTGCAAGGAAAACATCTTCTGGTTCAAGATTGTACAAACTGACTTGTATAAATCAGAAATCACTATAAATCTTATAATGGAACTTTGCCCAGCAATTGGCTCCACAAGTTCCATATCTTGACAATTTATTCACAGGGGATTCGGTTCCTTGATCGATGCTGCTAAACCACACTGCACAAGAACAGATCAATCCCAATATTTGTTTGCGTCATTTTTACAGTTGCAAAACCTCATCTGAAGACGGCAATCACACAAATGATTAGTTTACTTACCATCTCACATGTGAGAGTGAAAAGACCATTTTCCTCCGTGAGAGCGGTGTCAGGACTTTTGCAGCAGCTGCAGATGACGAATGCATCTAAGGCAAGACACAATGACATATGAGACAAGCTCAAGCAAAAGCAAAAGAAAGAAACAGATGATGAAGATACTAAATATACCAATGTATCTCCGGAACAAAGCTTGGAAATCCTGACAAGACACTATACCCTTCATCTCTAGCCGCTGCTGTTTGTCCAGCAATCCTTTTGTCTCCATTTGGCCAAGTAAGAACCCCATGACATGATCTGGCTCCCTATGCATCCTGAACAAGACATGTTGTAAAAGTGATACACCGCTCAACAGAAAGAAGATCAATGACGAAACAAAGACAAGTCGTACGTTGTGCAGAGTTGAGCAAAGTTGGAACAAACAGTTATCTGAGTCCCTTGTGCAAGGAGCCTGGGAGGCAACATCACTGTTCTTGGCTTCTCCGTAGGAACCTCGAGATCGTCCTCACAAAGCATACCAAACACCCTACTCAAGAGCTGCAGAGCATAGGATAGCTGGGATCACAAAAGGAAAGCTGAAGAGAAGAAAATCACGCAATGATCTCAGCTAAAAGTACCTCTTTATAGCCATAATCTGGATCAAATTTGTGACCGGGAAGGAGCCGTCTCCCAGATTGACGACAGTGTGGTTCGCTATTCTCTGTTATGTTGTCAACATCAGTAACAATAGTAGCTTGAGAGATTTGGGAGCACAACAGATTCGTTTTAATTACCGGCAAAGTGCCGTCCTTTCTGGAACAAGAGGTCGTCGTCGCGTATAGGAGGCTTCTTCTTCTTCTTCTTTTTGGAAGGATCAAATTTACTAACCTAACATCAACATATAAGCTTTTAAGCAAAGCGAAATCACTCCCCGGACCCGGAGAAACAGTCAAGGAGTAAGATAAGATAATCAATGATATATAATATAAGGGGTTTGAGCAGACTTACCCATGACGAATCCTTATCTAAGACCTCCAGTTCAAGTTTCCAACAAGCCTGCTTTCGCTCTAGATCCATCGTCGCCGAGGCTAGTTTCAGCGATGATCGGAGTCGGAGGACAGCTGAAATTGGTGGTGGTGACACGAGGATTTCTAATTGGGCCTCTATTGGGCCTTTAGACAAAGGAGGACCCAAATCCAATCATATATATTCATTTACTGTAGATTACTTGTGTAACTGTGTAAGTGGGAGATGATGAATATACTGTACCAAGTTATAAATTTTAGATTTGGTTTTGTACAAACTAAACTAGAAACTTGGAAAGAAAGAGATGATTGGATTGGAGTAGCCGAGTAGGAGTCAGCGAGGAGCGATGCTGGGAACAACGCCGCTGCTGAGATCGCTTCCTAAAAGGCTGGCCGACTCGGAAAGATCTCTCGTCACATTTGAAGATGATGTTGAGAGCACGGACGAGCACGACGGCGTTTCCCCTCGGTCTGGCATTGATTGGAGCAGTGCTTCCAACTCCTTCACCACCTCTGCCATCGCCGGCCTCATCTCCGGTGAGTCGTGGCTACACCTCAGCGCCAAAGCCGCAAACTTTGCAGCGCTTTCCATCCACCACGGCTCCATTCTCCTGTCTATTATCGACGCCATCTTATCCCTCTGGACCGCCGCCTTCACCTCTCGCACGATGTTTTTGCCATGGTGGATGGCGTGCATGCCAGTCAGCAGCTCCAAGAAGACAACTCCAATGCTGTACACATCGCTCTTGTCCGTCAGCTTGTGTGTCAGGAAGTACTCTGGGTCCAGGTACCCCTGCAACGTTGGCAATTTTTAGACTATCATGTATCTCTCTCTCTCTTGTCCCATCAAATTCTCATTTTGAACAAGACTCACCGGGGTCCCACGAACAACCGTGGAGACGTGCTTAGGCACTTCCTCTTCGTCCTCCAAAGCTGGAGCAAGGCGGGACAGTCCAAAGTCTGCAACTTTGGCATTGAAGCTGGGATCCAGGAGGATGTTGCTGGCTTTGATGTCTCTGTGGAACACTGGCGGGTTGGCTTCTGTGTGAAGGTAGAGAATACCCTTGGCTGCTCCCAGTGCAACACGAACCCTCATCTCAAAGCTCAATGTCTCCTTCCCTTTAGCTGCATAGGTCAAACAGATTGAGATTAACTAAATCTATATGGCACACATATCTTAGTGCTTTGCTTTTGTACCAGACAACCAGTCGCGCAGGGTGCCATTTGGCATGAACTCGTACACCAGCATCTGCACAGTCACATTTACCTTTATTCGCACGCAGTTCAAGATTAAAGATTAAAGATAACTCAACCATGCAAGAGAGAGTACTGAGTACCTACCTGCTCGCCTTCTTCGTCACAGTAACCAATTAGCGACACTAGATTCCGGTGATGCAACCTCGAGAGCAACTCTATTTCATTCAAGAACTCCTTTTCACCTTGCAATGACCCTTCGTCTGCACGCTTTATCGCAGCAACCGTTTTGTCAGATAACACACCTCTGTAAACCTTTCCGTACCCTCCGCGACCAACCAAAGCTGAGCTGCTGAAATCGTCCGTGGCCTCTGCTACTTCTTTGAAACTGAAGCCTCTTATCCCAGAATTCAACAAGGAAGCCTTGGAGGCTGACAAAATACAATTACTAGTATGAGTATGAGTGAAACAGAATGGACATGACAGATTCGGTTACACTTACAAGACCGCCTTCTAGATATCTCGCGCTCATGCTTGCCGTATCTTCTAAGCAACAAGGCCGCAACCATGGCGGAGATTGCAACAGCAGTCACCACAGCCCCTGCGGTTATTGCTGCCAAACGTCCCCAGCTGACGCCTTTACTTTCGCTGCTGAAGTTCACTGACAAGACAAAAAAAAAAAGGACTTGTAGTTACATGTGCTTGTGTAAGAGAACACTATTAGGTTAGGGTAGAGAGGCGCACCATATGAATAAGGCCCCTGCAGAGTGAAGTTGAGCAGCTCATACGGGCCGAATAAGTGACTACCAGGAAATCTCCATGATGCGAATATGCCTCGGATTCTGACTACTTCACTCGCGTTAAACGTTCTTGTGTAGGTCTCATTAACTTTGGGAAAAAGTTTCAGATACATCCTAAGACGAGGCCCTTTCTCCCATTGGTAAGAGTCGACCCAGAGTTGGTACGGTTCCATTTGAAGAAAATCGGTGACATACTCACCAAACTGATCAAGATATGGAGGCAAGTAGGAGAAACTAGGACTTTTAAGGCGATATCCAATCCTGAGAGGCGCTGCACAAAAGCATCGTGACGGGGATGCTGGGCTGTATTCGTAGAAGTCAGGGGTGGGACAGGCTAGAGGAGGGCACTCCAGCTCAGAATCAGTTGAGTTAGTTGGTTGTGACGTCCACTCCTTTCCTATGGATTCGCAGAAGAGGCCTGCATTGGATATGCTCTCGTTCTTGCAAATCGGATTACCATCAAGCCTGGAGACATGAGTTGTATTAAGCATTCAAGACAGAAACATCAAAATTGTAACCATAGATACATATACGAAGGAGCACCTTAAAGTGACATTTTCTGGAGGAGTTAGATCTCCTTGAACATGTGACAGGGTATTATTCCTGAGATCACTGTAGGAATTTCGAGAAAACAAGAATATCAGAGAAGCTGCAAGTGACTGTAAGTGAAGGAGGGAAACGAGGATGTTACAGTAGAAGTCTGGCTTTCTTCAGTAATGATATATTCTGCCACAGGGAATCAGGGACAGATCCAGATAGCACATTGTTCTTCAGCAGTCTGCACAAGATGAGTTTTTATTTGTTTTATTTTCCAAGTCGGAAATTTCTACTCACAAGCTTGTTGTCAGCAAATAAAACAGAATTTCTCACAGCATCTGAAGGAAAGGGAGATCTGAGAAGCTCTGCGGAATGGATCCATTTAGTATGTTGTTTGATAAATCACTGCCATTAAAACCAGTATGAAACTCAAAGCAATAAGGTATACGTGTTCAGAGAAAAGAAACAGAATTAGAACTTAGAAGAATGTATAAGGCATACATGGTTGTTACAGCCTTGGAAAGATTAGAAGAAGGTATAGGCCCTGTGAGCTCATTCCAGCTAAGATCCCTGTAGCGAACAAGAGGCACAAAGACATTCACAACATGGGAAAGCAAAATCCATGCATATGCATTGAGATTGAGATTGAGATTGATCACAACTTACAAGTATTTGAGATTACGTATTCTGCTAAAATCAGGAAGAGCCCCTTTCAAACTACAATTTCTAAGACTCCTGTAAGTGCGAAAAGACCAAAGAACATAATGAGCTCCCTCAACATGATTAAATGGACTTGAGATAAAAGCGGCCTGGAGCTTACAGTTTCAGTATACTCGAAAAGTTCCCATAGGAAGCTGGGATGTCCGATCCACTGAAGTTGTTATTATCTAGTTGCCTGCAGTGCAGTGAGAGGACAATAACTATGAATCAAACATATACTTGTAGAGTGAGGAGGCATAAAAACACACGCAATAGACAAACTTACAAAATTTGCAGGTTTGGCAATCCAGAGAGTTGGGGTGGGAGATTTCCAGATAAATTGTTGTTGTCTAGCAGCCTGTTTGATCACTCTTTTTTTTTTAATCATCATGATGTCACAAATCAAGGAATGAGAGGCAACACACTGTGGCAAAGACTCACACGTGAAACATGTTTGTAAGATTGGAAAGCTCAACTGGAATCTGACCGCTCAAGGAATTGTTGTTGAAGTGACTGCACAAGGCCAAAAGCAAAATCTGTAAGATGATACTGGAAAACCAGCGTCTGAGGTTGATATCACTTGATGTTCAGACTCACAGATGTTTCACTTTTTTCAAGTTGGAAAAGGACTTTGGTATTGGTCCTGTGATGTTATTCTCATCTATCTGGAACCTGTTCAAGTTGGAAAGATAGCCGAGTTCGCTTGGTAAAGGCCCTGAAAGTTTGTTTCCATTCAGCAGCCTGACACAGATAAGCAAAGCGAACACACACACATGCTTAGCGACAAGGTTGGAGCAGAGCAATGATTAGTTATCAGGTGGGTCCAACTTACAAGAGTACCAGGGATGATATCTGTCCTATCTCCTTTGGAATTGAACCACTTAAATTGTTCCACATGAAATCTCTGAAGGAAAGATTTCAGTCAGTAAAAATTCGGAAATACAAACTTGGGAAAGCTTTACATGTTTTAAACTTACAATATCTCGAGATGAGCTAATTCTCGGAGTTCTGGTGACAAACTCCCGGAGAGATTCATATTCATCAGCAGGCTGCTTGGCAACAAAAGAAAGGAACAAGTGAAACAAGAAAAAAAAAAAAGAAAAAAAGGGGACAACCGAACCAGCTTCTCCCAAAGTTAACAAGAAAAGCAAGCAGACGACATGAGAGAGAGAAAAGGAGCAAAAACATACAGTTCTCGGACATGCAGGTACTCGTCAGTTCCAATCTCGTTAAAGCAGATAACTCCTGTCCAATTTGATCTGCAAGGGTCTCCTCTGTTCCAGTTTCTCAAGTTATCTTTAGGGTCAATTAAACTTGTCTTAACTGATCGTAAAGCAGTGACTGCAAATGGAGAAGAGAGTTGAAAATCACGTGGGAGAGCAAGATGACTTTAACTAAATTTGGAAACAGTCAGAAGAAAAAAACAAGTGCAGTCACCTTCGGAAGGGTCTGTTCTCTGTGCATCGGCAAGAAGAAGCACCGAACAGCACGCAACAAGGAGCGCGTGTAGACAGAGTCTCTGAGGCAACACCATGATGATGCCTTTGAGAAGGTTACTGCACAAGAAGCAGATAATCATAGGTCTAAGAAAATGTCCAACAAGAGTCGGTCAGAAACTCAATGAGCGATTCAGTTTGGAAGATGAGACCAATAATTCAGCAGATGGTTCCAAAATTCAGCAGTGATAAGGATTGCAACAGCACAAGGTGCTCGTATTTATGACAGAAATAGACACAGCAGCTAAAATTCAACGCAGCCAAGATCATTAATTACCTCACTGTTAGATCAGCTCTTGTTAATGAGAATTATCTCTCTTCCAGAAAGGCAAGTGGATAGGAGTATAGGACTAGGACTAGAGGCGTAGTAATCTGCAGAAACCGGAGACAAGTCAAATAATGTAAAAAAATAAAAGATCGAAATCAAGGGGCCTCATTTAATCATGTGTGGGGGGGGGGGGGGGGGGGGGGGGTTTTGCAATTGGAATCGAGGGAAGAAATGACCATCATATGTTGCTGGTTTGATTTTTCAAGCGATGGTGGAAGAAAGACGCCGACTTGTCTGCCTTAAAAATATCCGAAAAGCTTTAAACTTTATCACGCAAATGCAAATGGTAAAATTTGGTTACTGGGTTGACTCTACCTGCTGCACAAGTACAGTCGTGCCTCAAAGTGTTTGACAAATAACAAAGTTAGAAGAAACTCTCCATTATCCGATCCGATTATCGGCAACCAAACGCAGACGGCGTTTCGAGAGTGAAATCCAGCGACGCGGTCTTGTGGGTCCCTTTCTTTCTCTCGTATGATACAAGTCAACGCCTTTTACCAAAAATTAATTATTCCTACAGTACTTTATTGTTTTTGTGTGTTTAACTGTGTGAACGCAATCATTGTACAAAACACAGATCAAAGACAGACAGCAGAATAAGGAAAAACAAAGACTTTACTTTACTACTAAAGGTTTCCAATTAAATCTCAAAGATGATGATAAATCTCATATTTAGCGGGGTGCGATGGAGGGAATGACGCCACTGACGAGTTGGTTAGAAGACAAGTGTGAGAAAGTATTGTAAGAGGAGGCAGAGGCAGAGGCAGCGAAGCCTGACATTCCTGAAGCAGAGGACTGCACCGAAGGGCTTGAATATGGCTTTGGAAGCATCCCGTATAGGTTCTCCAGCTCCCTCACTATCTCCAGCATCCTCGGACGCTCTTCTGGGTCGTCCCGACAACATCTGATGGCCAGTTCCATGAATCTCTTGACGCACTCCTCCCACTCCGACTCCGAGTACTCCCCCATGCTCCCGTCTATCACCGACAGCATCATCCCGGCTTCGCACGCTTCCTTCACCTCTCGGACGATGTTTCTCCCGTGTGAGATTGGCCGCATTCCTGTTAGGATCTCCAGAAACACAATGCCCAGGCTGTACACGTCACTCTTCTCCGTCAGCCTGTGGCTCAAGTAGTACTCTGGATCCACGTATCCCTGTCATGATGTCATTAGTGAGAATTTAAGCATCTTTTTTCTTTCTTTTTAATCATCAATCATCACTAGAAACAAGAATCTAGTCAACATACAGGGGTGCCTTTGACGAGGGTAGTAACGTGGTCCCTCTGCACTCCAACGTCGTCTAAAGCTATCAGCTTTGAGATTCCAAAGTCTGCCACTTTAGGGTTCATCTTCTTGTCTAGAAGAATATTACTTGGTTTTATGTCTCTGTGGATGATTGGTGGGTCTGCTTCCGTGTGCAGATACAGAATCCCCCTCGCTGACCCCAGTGCTATTCTCAGTCTCAGCGCCAAGCTCAGCGGCTCTCTCAACCTCGCTGTAAAATAATATTTCCAGATAGATAAAAAAAAAAAGGGATCACTTATTATACACTAGCACTATATATAGCAGTTAAATTGTTAAAATTACCAGAGAGTGCGTCTTGAAGAGAACCGTTTGGCATGAACTCATATACCAACATCTGATACAAGAATGGGTAAACACAAGACAAGAGACTTTCTAGTTTCTAGCTTAACTAAAATTATTAAAAACAAGCAAAGAAGCGTCTCGAAATTGAAGACTCACCTGTTCTCCTTTCTGATCGCAGTAGCCAAGCAAAGAAACAAGGTTTCGGTGGTGTAGCCGTGAGAGCAACTCGATCTCCGTGTAGAACTCTTTCTGGCCCTGCAGCGATCCTTGCTCTGCACGTTTCACCGCCACTATCAGCCCACCCGCCAAATGTCCTCTGTACACCTTCCCATACCCTCCTCTCCCAATCTGGGATAGATCACTGAAGCTGCTTGTTGCTGACTCAAGTTCCGCCAAGTTGTAACCCTTCACGCTCTCCATGTTCATTGGAGGTTTAGGATCTAAGACAAATAAAAGCATTCATTAGTTTAGAGAATGATAGCAAATATTGGCTTGACGTAACAAGTAGTTTCCACATACTGGCCTCTCGTTGTTCCATGTCAACTTTCTGGAATTTTCTCTTTTGTTTTCTCCTCTTGATGATGAGGACCAATGATACAGACGATAACGCAATGAAGAAAGCAATGGCTCCTAGAGCGATTCCAACTTTGGCGCCTTTGCTCATTCCCGAGTTACTACTAGGGAAACTGAGAGTAACTGCGCGCATATATATAGCCATATATAATAGTATACAGTAATTAATTAACAAGCATTTCCCTAGTTAATTCGTTACTCTTCAAACTGATTCATATAGAAATTACCGTCTCTGTAAGGACCGAGGAGGCTGAAATACATAATCTCGTAGGGGCCAAGAGAATCATCGGTAACAAGAGAGAAAGTGGCAAAGAAGTCAACAATACGGTGAAGCTCCGTGGTGTTGAACTTGCTGTTCAAGTCGCTGTACTCGGGGAAAAGCTTCATGTTGATGGCTAGCCTTGGACCCGAATGCCATGAGAACGAGTCAATAGAAAGCTGATACATGTTTATCCCGAGGTTGGAGGCAACGTCGAGCATGTAGGAGACCGTGTAAGGTCGGAAGTCAGAGAAGCTTGGACTCCTCAGCCGAAGTCCAATGCCAAGGGGCGCAGCGCAGAAGCATGGAACAGGAGACCCAATCACGTAGTCATAGTTTTCGCTTATGGGGCATGACTGCCTTTTGCACTCTCCCGTGGTCGAGTTTTCCGACGAACTTCCAGGAGACTCCACTTCTACTGTTGACACGCCACAGAGATCAGCTATGTTTCTCTCATTTCCTCTTGCACAAACTGGGTTCCCGTAAAGCCTGATCATCAAATATCACTATCAGAGTGCTCTGTTTTATCTATTCTTTTTTACATGTTTTTTTGACACAATCTTACTTGACTGTGACGTTGGAAGGAGGGTTTAGAACGCTTGACACATTTGAAAACAAGTTGTGCCTCAAGTCCCTACAATCATAAAAAATAAAAAATAAAAAAATAAATAAATAAATAAGTCTTGTGTAAAGACTAAGAGCATTGTCGTCCTGTAATTTGTAGATGTGACGTGTCTTACAAGATAAGTTTCGCCTCTGCAGAAAAGTTCCTCTTCTCCCATATCACAGGAATCTCCCCGCTTAAGTTGTTGTTTTGCAGAGACCTGGAAAATTAAGACATCCCTTTCTTGTCTTTTGTTCTATTAAAAAAAAAAAAAAAAAGGAAGAGTGAAAATGGGTATTACAGTCTCTGCAAACGTGGAAGCCCTGAAAAATTTGAAGGGATGGATCCGTTGAGCATATTGTTGTGCAGGTTACTGCAGGCAAGAAAAGAAAAGAAAAAACATGTAAAGGCATATCATATCAATCACATTTCACTTCTTGGCTTGGCACCTACATAGTTGTGATGTTCCCGGAAAACCTGTTCTTGGGAATCTCTCCTGTGAGCTTGTTGGAGGAAATATCTCTGAAGCATCAAACAGAAAAAAAGCCTCAGCGACTAACATAACGTGGAAATGAAATGCTAGTGGTTTCTTCTTACCAAAGTCAAGTGACTATACTTACAAGTAATAGAGAAGCGGTGATTTGCTCAGATCAGGAACTGGTCCTTCTAAGTTGCAATTTCTGAGACTCCTGTTTATGGCAGGAACGTAACCAACATAAATGAGTACAAGGAAACAAGTTCACCGACCTAGTAATCTTATGTTGTTTCTTACAGTTTGACGAGATTTGGTATATTTCCGTAAGAAGATGGGATCTCTGTCCCAGCGAAGTTGTTATTGTCCAATTGCCTGTAAATGAAAAAGCAAATTAAGTTGAATGTGGAAGAAAGTTAACCCGTCGTATCTGATAAGAAGTTGAAGAAACAAAAAAACTTACAGAATCTTCAAGCTAGGCATCTGAGAGAGCTCCCGTGGAAGATATCCAGTAAGCTTGTTATTGTCCATCAAGCTGCAGAACAGAACAGAGGACTGACGATGATTAGATTTGAATAGATAAGGTGAAGAAATGAAAACGTAATCAAGAAACGTACAAGTGCAGAACGTCGGATAAGGAAGAGTACTCAAGCGGAATCTGACCCGTGATTGAGTTGTTGTTCATGTGACTAGAAAGTACAAGTGATTTATATATATATATATATATATATGTCAAGAATATTCCGAAATGGACAAGGAAGAGAGAGGAGAAGAAGCAGGAGATCTCACAAGTGCTTCAGTTTTTTCAGATTTGCTAAGGACGTGGGAAGTGATCCGCTAATGTCATTGTAGTCTATCTGAAGGATTAAGAGATTGGAAAGAGAGCCGAGTTCTTGAGGCAAAGGTCCCGTCAGTTGATTTCCACTAAGTAGCCTGCAAAACACAAGTACACAACAGATGCGGTCTTGAAGGGAACATACGTAGCTGATGAAACACATGATCAAGACTCCTTACAAGAAGATGAGATGAGTCATGTTGCCTAGTTCTGGTGGAATCTGACCGGTGAGATCGTTCCACATGAAGTTCCTGTGATCAGCTAATATGTAAAGGAGAGGTTTGATCGCAAAAACAGAGCTCTGAATATCAGATCAGACCAAAAGAAAGGACATATATATACAGTATGGTGAGATTTGCTAGACGGCTGAGTTCAGGTGCCAGTTTTCCGGTGAGGTTCATGTTAAGCAACCGCCTGCATCATTTGACCAAACCAAAAACAGCATCTGAAATTGTCCACTCAAGATTTGGTTTTAAACCAAAGTAGAAAAGGTCCCAACACGTACAACTCCTGAACATGAAGAAAGCCATCTGAAGGATCAGCGATGCAGAAGACGCCGGTCCAGTTAGAGGCGCATGGATCCGTCTTTTTCCAGTCATGAAGATGATCCATAGGATCCTTCAGTTTGCGATGAACAGCATGCAGAGCACTCACTGCAACAACAACAAAAACTCATTAGTTAGCAACTAGCATCATTCATCATTATCAAAGTGTTAGCGCGCACATAGACCATACCATCAAGCGGATGTGTGATCTGCTGGGCATCCAGCAAAGACAAACAAGAAGAAAACAACACCAGAATCACTCCAACTCCAACTCTAACCGCACTCATCATCTCTTTTGTCTTCTTATCTGCTTTCTTACAAAATCAGATTAGTCTTTCTTGAAATGGTGAGAGGAAGTCGTAAACTTGGAGAATGAGAGAATACAAGTCATACAAGAAGAAAGAGCAACATATATGGAAGTTTAAAAATACTCAAAAGGGAACTATCAATAACCCCCACCTGGTGGTTTTGCTGCCAGTCAAGTTTGCTCGAGTCTCTTCCCTTGTTCTGTGTTACTGCTTACTTTCTCTCTTTCTATGAAAAAATCAAACCTTTTAATTTTATAGCAGAAACATTCCAATGGCCATAGTATTATAACCAAGTTGAGTTGCCTATTTCTTCGTAAACATCAAAACACATCCATGTCAGACTACACGAGAGACTTTTACTAATAAGCTAGAACAGAACCATCTTGAATTCTTGACTTGTTCAGAGAAAAAACAAGATAAAATCGGAAACATCTTGACTTGTTCAGAAAATATAAGTATGCAGTGGCAGCTTTTTGTATAATATAGTTGTTTTTTATGGAAGAGAAAGCTATACATCGATTTGGAATTATCAACAGTGATTGAAATAAATCACATGAAGCGAGAGAATGTCCAATAAGAAGACACCAAACAGAAATTTGAGTTGACAAAAGGTGCTTTTAAAAATCGAAAAACAGAGTGATGCATTAGTGATCAAGATAATATTCAAAAGGATGCATTGACATTGACTCTGTCCTTATGCCATTTGATTGATGCTAGTGGGGTGGATTGTGGTCCGACAAGGACTTCATTTCTCAAATCACCATGTCATATGCATTGCTGAAACGACTGAAACTACTGCGATTGTTTCAAGTAGGAAGTAGGGTTTGAACTTTGAATTAATAATGTGGTTTAGTGTCAAAGAAGCTTGAGTTTGCGGTCATACTCTTGACGCTTGGCACTGTCGAGAAGCTCAAGTCTCTTTCTCTTCCATCTCTTCATCTGTTAACAAGTACGGTATATATACATATTGAAGCCCATTTAAATTGTAGGCCCATGATGCATGGGCTCTGTCTTAAAGGAGTAGGTCGCTTCGTTAAGTCAACCCTTTGGATTGGATCCACATTCCAACATTCCACAATGGCAGGCAATTCCAATTCAATTCAACCGTTGATTGATAATTGATTCACCACAAAGAATACGTTCGCAATTACTCTCTTTCTCTCCCCCCGAGCAGCTCGTCGTCGGATCTCTCCGTTGTCTTCTTCGTCTGGGCTCTGTTTACCCCAACCTCTTGTTAGCAGATGCGCGACTCGATCAAGGTCTGAGACCTAGTCAAAGCGATTCGCTCTCTATTTTCTTCTACCTTTTCCTTTTTGACTCTATTTTCCTCTTCCTTTCCCCTTTCCCTTTAGGGTTTCCTCGACGACATGAGCTATTAGCTAATACGATTGGATTTCACCCAAGCTCCTCTATTGGTTCTCCCCGTTGCAGGTAGGATTCTCGGTTTCTTATTCCCGTTGATTTTCTACCACTGCTGATTGATCCTCGATTCGTTTTAGGGCTTTCTTAAAATGGAAGCGTCCAGCACCAATCACGACGCCTTTAGGGGCTCTCCTCGACGAAACTCCATCCTCTCAGCTTCCAACATCATCCAGGCCCCCATTTCAACCTTGTTAGAGTATTCGGGCCTCTTTCGAACAAGGCCAGGTCCTATTCAGGAGGCGGAATCGCTGGTTAGTGATGATTCTACAGGAATCTCCAACGGGGAGGTTGCCATTAGGATTATTGGGAACGGCGAGCAGGATGCTGAAAGTGATATTAATGATCTCAGGGAAGCTGGTCAGACTGAAGTTTTGGGTTCTGCTAGTCAGGTCGATCCCGCGGTTGCCGGCGAGGGAGTCTCTCAGGCTGCTCCAGGTGAATCTGTAGCTGGAGATGCCGCAAGCCGGGATTCACCCTACCAAAGATATGATATCCAGCAGGCTGCACGCTGGATCGAGCAGATTCTTCCCTTTTCTCTGCTTCTGTTGGTTGTTTTTATCCGCCAGCATTTGCAGGGTATATGCTTTTGATCGTCGTCATTTGTTTATATCTCACTCACTCACTCACGCCTCTCTAGGCTCTAGCTAGTTATTTGACCTTTTTCCGGTGCCATCGTTCAGGCTTCTTTGTCGCAATTTGGATTGCTGCTGTCATGTTCAAGTCAAATGATATTCTGAAGAAGCAAACAGCTTTGAAGGTTTCACATGTCATTTACTTATTTCTGTCTTCACATTCGACGTTCAAACTGTCAAGTCCAAGTCTCAAGCATGTCTCTGATATTGATTACAGGGTGAGAGGCATATCTCGGCATTGATCGGAATCTCTGTAGCGTTTACGACCCATGTTGTTGGTGTCTATTGGTGGTTTCGCAAGGATGACCTCTTGTATCCCTTAATCATGCTGCCTCCCAAGGCCATACCACCTTTCTGGCATGCCATTTTCATCATAGTGGTGAATGGTATGTAGTACCTTCTCTGCCATGTTGTTTCCCTTGTCCTAATGAGTCTCATTCCTTCAACTATCAATTAATATCATCTTTATCTTATCATCACTAAAAATATTTGTCATGCACTATTCCCTCTGTGTTTCATTGCATTATCCTGTTGGATCATTTAGTGCTTACACGACTTGTACGTGTGCCCTATTTTCCTCAGATACACTTGTCCGGCAGGCTTCAATGATATTCAAGTGTTTTCTGTTGATGTACTACAAGAACAGTAGGGGTCGAAATTATCGTAAACAGGTGATGCAGGAAAAAGCTTATTTGTCTGTCCTCTTTAACTGAAATCAGTTTAACGTGGCCTGGCTCACTGTGCGTCTGTGTGATAAACCTTGAGACTTAACTTTGTATGCAGGGTCAGTTGCTAACTTTGGTTGAATATTTGATGCTTCTGTATCGCTCTTTGCTGCCTACCCCTGTATGGTACCGTTTCTTCTTGAACAAGGATTATGGAAGCCTCTTCTCGTCTCTTATGACGGGATTGTATCTGACTTTCAAGCTCACTTCAGTAGTTGAGAAGGTAGGTGTTTTCTCTAGCCTCCTTTTTATTTATTTTCTGGATAGCAGCTGAGGGGAAATTGGCAATCAATTTCAGGTTCAATCCTTCTTTACGGCATTGAAGGCTTTGTCACGTAAAGAGGTGCACTATGGATCGTATGCAACTACAGAGCAGGTACAGTTTAGTTTCTTGCAGATTCAAATCCAATTCAAGCCCAAACAAGCACTGAAGTGGCTTTCTAATGTGTGCAGGTCAATGCGGCGGGCGACTTGTGTGCTATTTGCCAGGAGAAGATGCACACCCCAGTTCTTCTTCGCTGCAAACACATGTTTTGCGAAGATTGCGTTTCAGAGTGGTGAGGTGTTTTGTGCATATTAGCAGTTGTTCTTTGTGTGTGAATTTGGATGTTATTGAAGGAATGTGATCATGACTGGGCAGGTTTGAGAGAGAAAGGACGTGTCCTCTGTGCAGGGCCTTGGTCAAACCAGCAGATCTGAAGTCATTCGGCGATGGCTCCACCAGCCTTTTCTTCCAGATATTCTGATTAAAACACATACAAGACCCTCAAGTAAAAAGACTCACTTACTAGTCTTCTTAGAAAGTATTTATTATATACAATTTGAGCTGTGAACGAAAGACACACCACTGATGCCTTTAAGATGTTTATACAATCTCATTTGTTAATATGAAATCGCCTTTTTATGTATATTCCGTCGCAAAAAAAATGAATTAAGAGAGCTGGAGCAGGACAACAACAGACAAACAAGAATAAAAACGATGAAATCAAGGATCCGAAACCACATTTACACACACAGAGCTCTCTTGAATCTCTTTAATCATCTCTTCTTCACTCGGGGAACAAGTCATCAAAGTGGGTACAAAAGGGTAAACTTGTGTCACCTCTTCACTGCCTTGGTCTATGTACACAAGGTCCTGCATCGTGAGCTGGTGGTACTCTACAATCTCCCGCAAGAACCGGTTCTCCCTTGCGTACACTGAGTTCTCATGAGCCAACCGTGCTTTCTCTGCTAGTAGGCTCTCCATCTGGAGCCGAATCTGATAACAAAAGCATACACCACCCGAGTTGTTAGATGGAGTGCTAAATTAGGACATGAAATGGATCACTCAATTCTTTACCAAATCTTCGTCTGCAGGGTTGCTTCCTTTCTCACGGTGGTTCTCCCTCAGATGCTTGTTCTCTTCTTCAAGCTGAGCACAACGCTCTTTCGCGAATGCAAGATCTGCCTTCACAGTTCTCAGCTCACGGAGGAGCAATTTTGCTTTAGCAGCCGTGGCCATCGCCACCTGCACGCACGAAACTTATGTTCGAATAAAGCCATCATAAACCATCAAATCAAGAGTAGAGCGAGTGGACCTTACATCGCGAGATGCCTTGAGTTGAGTCTCATGTTCCGTATGATCTGACTGCAGTGGCTGCTCCGGAGACTTTTTCCATGAGCTACTGACTCCATACGATTGATTGTGATTCTGATTATCTTCTTGACCACCAGTTGCTCTTCGTCTGGTTTGAAGTTTTCGTGTTTCCTGGATGATATCAGCTGTTTTGTTCCCCACGAGTGTCCGCCCTTCCTGGAGAAACAAGGAACAGATATATAAGGCAATCAACCAAGTCCAATACAATAGAGGGAGAGAGACAGAAAAAAAGAAGAAGAAGCAAAACCTCAAAGGCTTTCTCAAAAGAGTCGCCAATCTGATTAAGAGAAGATGTAAGCTTATCCAGCCCTCTCCGGAGCTTGGGATTGTCCATTTTCTGGTCTGAGAACCGGGACTAGAAAACCATGAAGACGTCAAAATCAAAAGGATGGATCATGTTCATCTATGTAGTTGAAATCAGCAAAAACAAAACCTGAGAAGCTGTTGATGAGCTATCATTAACAGATTTTGCTTTCTGGGCTATGACTCCCCACAAGCCCCTTGGCTCGGTCTCGTATGCTGTAAAATCCTGCCCCACAGAAAAACATAGGATCAATGGGGGATGAAAGATGACTAACTGCAGTTTATAATCACAACTTTGGATCAAGGCTATATCTAAGCATCAACACCTTCTCGACCTGAGCTGTGATCGTATCAGGAAGTTGAGCTTTAACAGAATCACAAGTCTAAATATTAGTCAAAGAGCAATGAGTTGAGGGTCAAAAAGGAGAAACCTTAGATCTGGGTTGATCAAAAGCAGGGGACTCACGGAAGAATGAAGGCGATGTGAAGGATCGAGTCGGAGATGATCTTTCCTTGACAGGGGTGATGCTTTCCGGCGGAAGGTGATCAGTCTCGTCCTTGAAAGTTGCAAACTTTCCGATCCCCTGCCTTCTCCTATACGCCATAATTTAGGTTCCAAGTCTCTCTATTTTCTTCTCTTTATTTGTTTGCTTTTTCGGTTTCTTCTTCTGCAAAACAAGTTACATTAGAAGGACAAATTGTTGGATGCGGACCCACGAGGCTCGAAAGAAGGCAATGATTTATTTAGTCTTTGTGCAATGGCCCCTGCGACAACTCGACAGAATCTGAATTGGCAATGGGTTTTTTCCTTTAAAGTAATCAGCTTTCCATGGATGAATGTGTGTGTGCATTCCTATCAAAAGCTTTGAAACCATCCATGAACCATCTCAAACCCGTCTGATAATAATACATTGAAAGCTTTTTATCTAGTGCTATACAGCAGCAACATTTTGAGCTATCGACCCAAGCTTGTCTGAGAACATGATCATCAATCTCTGAATGCATAGACAGATTTCTATCACTCGGCTTCAATATCTCTTACACTTTATTGCTAACTATGTGGCATGGCTTTTGATGATTTACAAATAGACCTAGATTTTGGATTTACTGGAGGCTTCATCTATGCAGAATGCTTTATTATGTCCCTTTATCTGTGAGAAGTTTACTTAAGGTAGAATTTCAGGAAATTAGCAGAGGAGACCTTCTTGATGATTCGGAGACTTCGGTTTCTAATGGTAGATACTAGATAACGTCAAAGAAGATGGTTTATACTTTCCCCACCCGTCGTCGCGGTTGACCCCTTCCCAGTTCCCACAGACTCTCTCTCTCTCTCTCTCTCTCTCTCTCTCTCTCTCTCATTTTCTTCTTGCATCTCCCTCTCCGAAAACATCCGGCCGTTTGGGTAAATCTTTTTTTGTTTCTTCTGATTTCTGAAATTTCGAGCGTGGGTGTATCCAACCGGCTGCTTCGTATGTGTGATGTGATCTAAGTCTAACCCTGCTTCTTCTTTTTTTTTTTTATGTATTTCCCCCTTTTCAGACCTCAAAGTTTCCGATCCGATGGATCCACACCCTCAGGGTCCTCCCATCGATACCGATTCCATCCCATCTTCGGCGGCGTGCAATCTGTGTGGAAGAGTCCTTCAATCTGCTTCCGATGATCTTGAAATCTTCAGCTTATGTGGAGACTGTAAGTTTTTGCTGCTTGAAGATTTCGGCACCCCCGCGCCTCCCTTGACCCGGAGGCAGACGGCTAGAAGGAGGAGGAGCAGCAGGAGGAGAAGGACAAGTAGGCACGGCAGCTCTGAATCTGTCGGTGATCTTTCCTCCCAACAGTTGACACATTTGATAAGACAAAGCCTTGAGACTAGCTCCCATACCACTCCCAGTGGTTCCACAAGGTGGAGACTTTTCTCTGAATCTGAAAGTGAAGATTTTGAAACCTTGGATTCTCGCTACGGCGAGACCGAATCAAACGCTAGTTTTAGCCTCTACAGGTTTCCCCATGGTGATAATGATGCCATTTCTTTTAGTGCTTACGGTGGAGAGTCTGATGCTTCGGCGGACAGGGACAGGAGCGACATTGACTTTGACACTGATATTGACCCCATGCATGCTGGTCTGAACCAGTGGAACTCAGACGAGGAAGACAGGGAATGGGAGGAAGGAGCTGGTCCATCTGGGGTAGCAGGAACACGGTATTTGGCAAGTCCAAGTGAGAGCTACAGCTCCATGTCTCGGTTCGATTCTCCCGAGTTTGAGAGAGGGTTTCGTCAAAGAATTGTAGAGAGGAGGCAGGCGTTATCTCGCCACATCTTCACTGGTTTGGAGGATATGGAGTTCTCACCCTATGCTGCAAATGTTGCGGATTATCTTGATGAGAGAGGTTTTGAACAACTGCTGGAGCAACTTGCTGAGTCTGACAATTCAAGAAGAGGTGCACCACCTGCATCTGTGTCATGCGTCACGAGTCTTCCAAGGGTTACCATCGGGGAGGAGCATGTAAACAAGGGCCTAGTCTGTGCGGTTTGTAAAGAGCTTTACAGCCTCGGCACTGAAACCACGCAGCTTCCATGTCTCCATCTGTACCATGCTCATTGTATTGTACCTTGGCTAAGTGCCCGTAACTCCTGCCCACTCTGCCGGTACGAGCTCCCAACAGATGATAAAGATTACGAGCAAGGAAAGCAGAATGTGCTGGATGCGAGCGAGGATAGCTCCTCTGGTGATGATGATGATGGCACAGAAGCCGGGGAAGAGGTCTATCTAGAGATAGGCGGGAGTGAGGCCGGTGTGAGCAGAGTTAGCAGAGGAAGATGGCTCTTTCTGGCTGCTGCACCAGTTGTGAGTCTGGTGGGCGTTGTGTTGGCAGTGTGGCTAAGCAACCCGCAGAGGAGGGATATGGTAATCTCTCATAGCCAAAGGGAAAACAGGACCAGAAGATGGCTGCCGTTCTTCTGACAACCAGTTCTAAAAGGTGCTTGAGTTCCTGCTTCTATTTCATCTCCTCGGTATTATTAACTTGTGCTTTGTACTGCTGTGTCCACATGTTAGCTGAATTGAAGTTTAACTAAAGCTGTGGTGTGTGTCGTGTGTTGCAAATGTTTTTAAGGCTATTTTTGATAACAAGGGAGTGTGCTTATGTGGCATCAGTTGATAAAGAGTTATAAACTCGCATTTACACAAGAAAGAAATAAATAAAGAAAATGACTTTTGGTTGGTTTAGGCACATATGAGATGCCCCTGTATTTACACCAAAGCATAATTAAGAGATTTGTGTAGTGGCAGATGAATGTGAAAGAAGAAGAAGAAGAGTTTCAGAAGAGTATGTTGATATACAGTACCATCCATCCAGCCATTGAGAAGATGGCAAAAATGTGAACCCAGAAGAGCACTGCAGCTGACTCCCTTCCACAGCCTCTAAGGTTGGCAACAGCTCCTGAGAGCACAGAGGTAGGCATTGTGTGCTGAAGGAGTAACACAAATCTGAACATCTTGTCATCAGCAGGAAGGAACCCAAGTTTGTCTGCTAATGTCACAATTCCTAGTCCTACTGGTGGCACCAACACCAACCGTCCAAATATTATTGCCGCTGTTGTCTTGAAACCAAGCTTTGAACTTCCCGGTCCTGAGATTTATGCAAGGCACCAGTAAGTTCCATTGATGGGCTCAGAACAAAGTCAGTATGAAAAGGGAGCAACCACCCTACCGTTAATGAGATTCCCCCCAAGTGCCAGCAAGATACACGGTATCATGGCGTCCCTGATGGCCAATGGTTTTTCAGTTAGTAACTCACTGATTCGCAGCTGTTTCCCAGAGAAACAAATAAAGAGTGTGCTTACCCAAGAATCATGCAGCTGTCTGTAAAGAAGAAAAGAGGTGCACCATTTGTGAATATCAACTTCTTCGTGAAAGGTATTGCACCAAGTATCATGGCAAGAATCTGAAGTAAACAAAAACACTTGTAGTTTTGTTACATGGTAAAGGCAATCACATGGTCTCTTGTTCATCGGATTGTCAGTTAGAACAGACGAGATACTTACTGAAGCAACTATTGCAGGCTGGACAATTTGCTTAAGTTTCAACTTCTCGTAGAGGAAAACAAACATCTGTGCAATCTATATCACGGAGCAATATAAGTATACAAATTCGTAAGGACCGGCTTTATATCTGGTAACAATACACCTGAACCATAAAAATAGAAATCCAAAATTGCATTTTTACCTTGCCTTTTCTTGTATCCCCTCTTCCTCTGGTTTCGGTGCTCTGTAGAGGCAGGCGAACTTGAGCAGGCGAAATGTCCTTGGGGTGATTTTGAGCAAGCAAGGGGACTTGCTCTGGAGCAGCATCTACTGGGAGATTTTTCAAAGGAAGGTTTTCTTCTTCACCATCAAACCCTTCTGGAGGAGGAGCAAACATCTGGTACACATATGTGTAGAGGATGATGGCACCAACCTGACAGAAACGTTAAACACCAACCTCGTCGTTAATCATCATGGAAAGAAGAGGATATATATCCAACTCTCAAGACAGATAGTAGATTGGAAGTAAAGATCCTATATAAGATAGTTGCAATGCGGGATGCGGCTACTGTTCTCATACATGTAGCTCCTCTTCATCAAACAGAGAAGGCAAAAGCCAAGAAACTGTGCAAAGACATAAAATTGAGTAGCTAATGCGACTGATTCTAGTAAGTATAATAGCTAACAGAGTATATTATAAGACTATAGAGGCAGTTATTAGAGAGAGAGAAGAGATAAGCGTACCCATTGACCAAAAGAGATATAAGCAGTGCCATCAATGCTACATTTATCTGAGTCACCAAAAGGGTTGGAGGTGTCCCTACATAGAGCCGCTAGTAGAACAAGAGGGACATTGCCAATGTTACCTGAAACAAACAAGGCAAACAGAGTGAGAGTAGCAGTCAGAGAGCAGATAAGCGAGGCTAGGGTATCATGTGTCATAGGCCAAAAGGGTCTAACCAACTCCGATTTGTATGATTGTGAACTTGAAATAAGGGTAAGGCGGACGAATAACGGTAGCAACAAGGAAGCCGATTAACGAGCCTGAGATTGTACCAAGAACGACGTTCACGGGAATGAACCACCTGATAGATGAGAGAAGATGACGGCTTAAAGAGAGCAACCTATGGGACATGGTCTTAGAGAATAGAGAGAGTAGGAAAACAAACCACTGAAGCATTTTGTGGAGAGTGACGGCTTGTCCGAGCTGGGAAAAGATCAAGCAGGGGAGCAAAAGCGAGAAGACCAACTGTATGAAAGGTTCAGACTTCAGAGTTCAGAGTTTGAGAAGAAGTCGGTGTTGAAAAAAAAGCGTCGGATGAAATTAGGAATTACCCCGTTCAAGAGTTTGCGGCCAGAGGGAGGCAAGATGTTGACGTACTTGGAGGCCATCAGAAGGCCCAAGAAGCACATGGTGAAAACTTTGGCAATTGGCATCACCGCGATTTTGATGGTACCCAGCACCGATTCACCGGCAGCCACCGGAATCTCCATGGAATCGGCCAAGCCTGCTAGGATCCGCGCTATCATTCTGACAATCCCTTATCCCAACCCAAGCCAAAACCTGCAATTTCAAAGGTTGGAATCTGGAGAGGGTAGAGACAACAGAGAATTGATAGGAATCAGAGACTTCTCTCGAATTTTGCTTTGACTCTCTCTCTCTCTCTCTCTCTCTCTCTCTCGCTCTTTGTTGTGCTTGCCACGTGCCTCTTGCCTTCCTATTTACTCCTTTCCCTTTCTAAGCCCAAAAGGCCCGCCCGATTCAGTTACCTTTTACCCTTTTGGCTTAAGAGTTTACTCAAGTTTTAATAAAAGTTACGGCGATTACCAAAATAATTAAAGCAGTTGCCGGCTAAGATTGACATGTCATAACTTCAAATGTTCAAGATTGTATATATAGAAGTAGGCATGAGTTATGATTCATTTTGAAGTTTCAAAATATTATATCCATGAAACAAAAGAGAGCGCACATGCATATTTGAATATGTAAGATCACGATATATGCAGTGTAGTCGAGTGGTTTGTTGTAGTTGGGAAACGCGCGTGTATGTGTCAATTGTCATATAGGCTACGATGAAAAGTGATCGATACTTTGATAGCTTGTCTTAATTGGACGTGTTCAGTCACAACGGGGTGATAGATGATGCCAATTGGATTGGACCCAACACCCAAATATTCGTTTATACATTATGTGTGAAAACCCCACCAACAAAGCTTTTCTATAGGCTATAGCCTATAGCCAAACACTTAAATATATTTACAAAAAAAAAGTTATTAAGTTTGTAGACGGGAGAGAGAGGAGGAGGCATTGCAGTAAGCTATGGCTGCCTTGAGGGAGTCGTCCGTTAAGGTTTCCTCGCTGTAACTAGCGCTATCTTCGCAGTAGTAATGTAGTGAGGTCTTGTTTCGTCGTCCGTGTATAACTTTGAGGACCCACTTCTCTCCCACGTTCACTTTCTCCCTTATGACTCCCACTATACTCAAACACCCCAGTTTCATCACCAACCTTGTCACGCTGCTGTATGCAGCGAAGCAGCTAGATGCCGATGAGAAGATCGCTGCCGCCTGCATTTCACTCCCGGGAGATGGAGAAGAAGAAGATGAGATGCTCAGTTCGGTGACTGGTTTGTTGTTGATCTGTATTTCGATGAAAGATTCATCATCGTCGCTGCTCTCCGAGACTTCATTCATCCATCCCACTTTTTTCTCTCTTTGGTGGTCCATCCTTTTGGTTACCGGAACACTTTGCCAAAACTCCCTCTACCTCTACTATGCCATATCATATGATATGTATAACATGTGATCTCCTGCTCCTAAATAATTTCCATCATTGATTAGTTAACAATAATTAAATATATTCAAACTGATACAGCTAGCTAGCGCAGCTCACAACTCAACACCATACATATATATATCCTGACGTCTGAGAGCATATATATGCATGTGAACACAATATCAGTCTATGCAATTATTATTATCGTTGGATCAAATCAAAGCTGTCGATGGGATCGGGGGATTAATTAGTGGTATGATTACATGGGAGTCTTTAATAATACTGTATGGTTTGGACACTTACATGGCCCACCAATCACTCACTGATCGCCTATATCTCTTTGCGAATCACATGCGTGTTTTTTATTCTTCTTCGTATTTTCTTTCTTTCTAACTCTGGAAGGGTAATTTCACTTAACAACTCCAAGGCACGTTACTGAAACTCGTTACAAATATCACTCAGCTGTTGTCTATTTCATATTTCCACATCACAATCTCCTAACCCATATAGGATTGTCGGTCCTGTTATGATTTTCCTTCTATGCAAGTCATCTTTTACGCAAGCGTTACAACGACTCCATGCACACTAATTAAGGTTGAGGAGAAGTGAGCCTGATTTGGTAGAGTGGTGTCATCTGCTCTGCCATTAAATATAGGCAAAGTGTATACATAGCACCGATGCCAAATCATAATTTCAACTAAGAATGGACTTGGCCAGGAAACAATTAGACCGAGTTTTGGGAGACATTTCATAGTTGTTGTTCGAGCTGAAGATAAGGGATTGTGGCCAGTGGTCAGTGGTCACGCATCAATTTTTTGTTTGTTTGTGATAAGTACGGCTTCGTAAATATGGGGAATAAGGTGTCTAGGAGCCGCCGAACATCTGGCGGAAGACGTCGTCTCCAACGCCTTCTTTTCTGATCAGCTCACCCACTTTCCTCTGTTTAGCGTCGTACACGTTAAATAATCAAAGGCCCAGTAATGGATAAAAAGGAGACAATGATAGCCTGTAATAAATAATGAAAGGCCCAGTAGTGATAGAAAGGAAGATGGGCTTCGAATAAGCCTATTACGGAAAGATGCCGGAAGAGCGAATGAATATCCATCCCCCTTCTCCTCCTTCCTTTGTTCTTCATTTTCAATTTAGTCTTCTCTTCGCCGGCACAGAGAGAAAATAGACTTGGCCTTGTTGGTGTTGCATGGAGTGTGAGTGAGTAGATACTAGATAGATCGCGCAAGGATTTCGAACATGGCGTCTACGGAAGGCCTTGTGCCCATCACCCGGGCTTTTCTCGCTTCCTACTACGACAAATATCCTTTCCCTCCTCTTTCCGACGACGTTTCTCGGCTTTCCTCTGACATGTCTTCTCTTATCCAGCTACTAGCCCAACAATCTTCTCCTTCACAAGGTTCCCGATCCGATGATATCACCAATTTCGATTCTGCTTTTGAATTTATCTCATTAATTTTGTTATCGTTCGCCTTCTAGGGGAAACTTGCCTGATCGACGAAGCTAACCAGCCGCCTCCTCACAAAATTGATGAGAATATGTGGAAAAATCGTGAGCAGATGGAGGAGATATTGTTTCTTCTGCAACCATCTCGTTGGCCTGTTCAGGTGAATTTCAGTTTCGTTTTGTCCCATCCATGTTCCCTCTACTTCCCGTGACATCTCTCTCTCTCTCTCTCTGTTTGTTTTGCGCTCGCTCAGCTCCGGGAACCTTCCACATCTGAAGATTCTCAACTGTCTTCTATATTGCGAAATCTCAAGGACAATTTTGATAACGCATTGACTGCTCTGATTTCCTTCCAGACCAAAAATTCCGAGCGCGTATTCAGCACAGGTTCATTCGCGGACACTGTCAGAAACAGCGCCATTTTTGAATCGAGTATTGATGTTTTTTCTTCTTCTACAGTTATGACCTACATGCCTCAAGATTTCCGGGGAACGCTCATCAGACAGCAGAAGGAGAGGTCGGAGAGGAACAAACAGGCGGAGGTCGATGCGCTGGTTAGCTCTGGAGGGAGCATACGCGATACGTATGCTCTTCTTTGGAAGCAGCAGATGGAGAGGTAAGCCTGCATGTTTTTATTTTCTTCATTAAAGCTTAAGCTGTGGCTAGCTTTGAGAGAGTCTTCTTTGACCCTTTTATTTTTGTTTTTGTTTTTTGTACAGGAGGAGACAGTTGGCTCAGTTAGGCTCTGCGACTGGTGTTTATAAAACCCTGGTCGTTATGATACAATATTTTAAAAATAAATTTGCCTCGGAAAAACAGAGAATCTACTTAATCCCATAAAACATCTCAAAGCACACAAAAAAAACATCTAACTACTCACTATCAAAACGCCATCTACTCACACAACATAACCAGGAGTTGCCGGTGTCATCGCCGGCGGTCAGGTAACAATTTAAACCATTTAAAATATACACGCGTCAAGATCTAAGAGGTTCTTAGGGTTACGCTTACCGTGGTCGCTTCCTCATCAGATCCCTTCCCGGTCTCTCTCTCCTCATTTGCGGACTCTTGCTCATCTTATTAAATCCGCTTAATAGTTTTGGGTCCGCCCTTTTTCACATTTCTCTCGCACACAATTTTTCAGGGCAGGTTAAATACACTTCTCTAGTTCTCTTCTCTCTGTGTCTGAGTCTCGGTGACGAGAGCTGTTCTGTAAGAAAAAATGGACGGAAGTGGCGCTTACAACCCTCGCACCGTGGAGGAGGTGTTTAGGGATTTCAAAGGTCGTAGGGCTGGCATGATTAAGGCTTTAACCACTGGTAAATTGCTTTCACCATTTCCCTTGTTTTTTCCTCCATTTTTATTCACCGGAAAAACTCAATTCTTAGATTTTCCCCTTTCTCGCAGATGTTCAGGAGTTTTACCGACTTTGCGATCCCGGTGAGTGTTTCTTCTGAGATTTGTGGGTTTGATTTCCGCCGACGAAAGTCACAGTCTTTTTTTTTTTTAATTTTCCTCTTTGTGCCTTCTTTTGAGCTGATTGTTGAGTGAAGCATTAGGGTTCATGGTTTGTCTTCTCTGTTTTTGAATCTGTCAGATTTCTCTGAATTTTGCGTTTAGCGAAGTGAAAGGGGCGCGATAGCGGAGTAAAGTGTTGATTTTTGTTTGACTTGGTTGAAATGATTTAAAAAAAAAAAAATTAAAATTGTTCATTTTGGTTTGATTTGATTCTGTGAAACAACGATTTGGGGATTAACTTGACTTGACTTGTGATAAGACACGTGAATGTGAGATGTTTGACTGATAGAAATACAGGGGAGGGAGAACAGATTTGGGGTTTGTTCTGTGTGTGTTCTTAGTTTTGGTCATTGAATGCCATTTTAAATTGATCTATTCAAAGTCAACAATGAATGTTTTGATTCTGTTCCTTACCATTGAGGGTCTCTGTAATAAATTTCCGGTGGCCTTGTTTTTCCTTGCCAAACTGTATTGATAAATCCCTTTGTTTCAGATGTTAATTAGTCAAATAATCATTGTCTCTTTGCTTTATGCCGTTTGGCTTAGTGTTTTTTTTTTATATTTTTTTTGGGGTGCTCTTTCCATTGAGAGACCT